CAGCGGTGCCCCTGTCCCCCAGCTGTGCCCCCCCGGACGCCGTGGTGTGGCCCCAGTCGGTGGGGCAGGTCCAGGAGTTGGCCGCGCTCTGCTACCGCCGGCGTGTGCCCATGGTGCCCTTTGGCACCGGCACTGGCCTCGAGGGCGGTGTCAATGCCGTGCAGGTATCGGTTCCCCGGCACCCCCTGACCCCCCAGGGGCTCTCGGTGCTCAGCTGTGCCAAGACCCACCGGTGCCCCTGTGCCAGGGCGGCGTCTGCTTCGACCTGAGCCGCATGGACAGCATCGCAGAGCTGAGCCTGGAGGACTTCTCGGTGACAGTGGAGCCCGGTGTCACCCGCAAGGCCCTCAACAGCCACCTGCGTGGCACCGGGCTCTGGTTCCCTGTCGGTACTGCGGGCATGGGGGGGCCATGGGGCCGGGGGTCACACCACTGAGGGTGCTGGGGATGATTTTGGGCTGTGGATGTCGGGAATGCTGGGGTTCCTGGGGTGTTCGTGGATGCGCTGTGGTCCCAGTGGTGCCCATGGGACCAGAGGTGCCATGGCCCCAGTGCTGCTGGGGTTGCCCATGGTTTTGCTGTGGTCAGGGGTCCTGGAGGTGTCCATGGGGAAGTGTTGAGCATCCCTACCCCCATTCCCTTCCCACCCCCTGCTTGCAGACCCCGGGGCAGACGCCTCTCTGTGTGGCATGGCGGCCACGGGCGCCTCGGGCACCAACGCCGTGCGCTACGGCACCATGCGCCCCAACGTGCTCAACCTGCGCGTGGTGCTGCCGGACGGGCGCCTGCTCCACACTGCCGGCCCCGGGCGCCAGGCCAGGTGGGTGCTGGGGGCCGGGGGGCTGTACTGGGCTGGCTGCTCCTGCGTGTGTACCTGCTCACCAGCTCCACACAGGAAGCGGGCGGCCGGCTATGACCTGACCTCGCTCTTCGTGGGCTCCGAGGGCACCCTGGGCTTCCTGACTCAGGCCACGCTGCGCCTGCACCCTCTGCCCGAGGCCACCGCCGCCACCATCGCCTCCTTCCCCGGCGTGGGGGCGGCCGTGGCGTGCACGGTGCAGGTGCTGCAGGCGGCCGTGCCCGTGGCCCGCATCGGTGCGTGCCCGGGGCCAGAGATGGGCTGTGGGTCCAGGTGCTGGTGGTGGCACTGAGCACCGCCTCCTCTCACCAGAGTTCCTGGATGAGGTGATGGCAGATGCCTGTGGCCGCTACAGCGGGATGGGGCTGCCGGTGGCAGCCACGCTCCTCCTGGAGCTCCATGGCTCCCGGAACAGCCTGGCTGAGCAGCAGCGGCAGACGGGTATGGATGGGAATAGGCATGAGGATCGGGTGCCTGGGGCTGGGGGCCATGATGGACACCCAGGGATGAGGGATGGGTGTCCAGGGACAGGAGACGGGGGACAGGGTTGTTCTGGGAACAGGGATGGGTGCCCCGGACCAGGAACAGAGGGACCAGGGATGGATGCTTGGGATGGGGACTTGGAAGACACCAGGATGAGGGATGGGCATGTGGGCTGGGGGTCTGCTGAGGGGCTCAGGGACACGGAACAGGGGTGACCAGACAAGTCACAGGGTGATGAATGGGTGCCCAGGGACAAGGGATGGGAGGACCAGGGGTATCCTGGGATATGGGATGGATGCCCAGGATGGCCACTGGAGGTCCTGGGGTGAGGGCCAGGTGCCTGGGGGTGCCGTGGGTCCCATGCCAGGGCTCCTGGTCACTGTCAGAGGAGATCGTGCGACTGAACGGTGGCTCCGGCCTGGCCTGGGCGGAGGAGCCGGAGGAGCGCGGGCGGCTCTGGGCCATGCGCCACAACGCCTGGTACGCGGCCCTGGCTCTGCGGCCTGGCTGCCAGGTGAGGGACAGGCACAAGGACAGGGACGATGGCGGCAGCGCCCGTGGAGCTGCAGCTGCCACAGCTCTGCCCTGCCCGCCCCAGGGCTACTCCACGGATGTCTGTGTGCCCATCTCCCGCCTGCCCGACGTGGTGGTGGAGACCAAGCAGGACCTGCAGGACTCTGGCCTCACCGGTCAGTGGGGCCGCAGCCCCCTGGGACAGAGGGGTGGGTTGGGGGGTCACCATCCTCCCTGTGCACCTCATCTGACCCACGGCCCTGCAGGACCCATGGTGGGACACGTAGGCGATGGCAACTTCCACTGCATCCTTGTCTTCAACACCCAGGACCCAGAGGAGGCCCAGCGCATCCACGCCTTCACCCAGCGCCTGGGCAGGTGGGGATGTGGGACCCTGGGGGGACAGTTGGACAGGCAGATGTCCCCACGCCCTGACCCTCCCTGTCCCGCAGGCGGGCGCTGGCGGCGGGGGGCACCTGCACCGGGGAGCACGGCGTGGGGCTGGGCAAGCGGGCACTGCTGCTGGAGGAGCTGGGCCAGGAGGGGCTGGACACCCTGCGCTCCATCAAGGCTGCACTGGACCCCCACAACCTCATGAACCCCGGCAAGGTGCTCTGAGGGGGGGCCCTGGCATTGAGCTGGCAGTGGGGGGCTGCAATCCCTGGAGACAGGGCTGGGGTGGCCACACTGCCCTGCACTGCCACCCTTTGTGTCCCCACAAATCCCCCCATCCCCACCTCGGGGGGTCAGGGATCCCCAAACCCCAAATAAACCCGTTTGCACCTGTAGCCTCCGTGTACTGTGATGTCTTTTGGGGGACAGGACGCCCCAGCCCCTCCCTAGGGGGTCTCTGTCCCAGGCAGCACACACAGACACTCATAGGGCACCATGGGGGTCCACTTTAGTCTCTTCCCCTGAGTCATAGTGCTGGTGGTGCTGGGTAGGAATGTCCATCATGACCCCCATGGCATCCCATCTCTGGGACCTGCTGAGCACCACTGGGGCCATCCCCACATGGCAGACCTGGGGAAGGGGCATCGGCACGGGTGGGGGTCTCCAGCACCCCATCGGCATCATCTGCTTCACCAAGAAAGCCAGTGAAATAAAATAACAGTGAATATTTTATTGAACATTGTTTTAATACCATATCAAAACACCTTGACTAATGAAGGAAGCTCCCCCCAAGCTCTGAACTCTTTTTTTCCCCCGTTTTTTTTTAATATATAAATACAGAAAGGTTTCCCGCAGGGGCACGGCCACCGGCAGGGGAGGTCTCACCAACGAAAACGCGCCCGCCGCGCCAGGAGGGGACGGGGATGGGCAGGGGAGGGGTCACTGCCATGAAATGACTCCATCTTGGCACCTCCAGCAGAGCCACTCCCATGACCAGGGGTGGCTGGGGGCATCCGGGGGCCCATCGGGGCCTTCCCCATACCCTCCTCGAAAGGGTCCAACTCAAAGCCGATGGAAAAGAAAGAGGGGGGGCGGTTTTGGCAAGAGGAGCCCGGCGAGGGGGCGCGGGAGGGGCGGCGGGGATGCTGCGGCTCTCCAGTCTCTGAGTGGTTATAGCTGAGTTAAAGAGTGACCAGTCTGTAAACATCACCGGGGCAGGGAAGCTCAAATCGAAGAACACGCCAGTCAACACAAAGCTTCAGTTGTGGTTTGTTGTTTGTTTGTTGTTTTTTTTTTTTGTCCATTTTCTCTTTTTTTCTTCTTTTTTTTTCTTTTTTTTTCCTTTTTTTTGTTTTCTCGTTGTAAACACTTGAAAGACGGACCCCTGCGAGTCAGCAGGGGGGAGCAGTGGCCCCGCTCCCGGCGTGGGGCAGAGTCCCCATCTCAACGCTGCCGGGGGGCCGGGGTGGAGATCTCCAAAAGGGAGACGGGAGAGAGGAGAAATTTCCCGTTTAGTCAGTGCAAAAAAACCGAGCAGAGCCCCCGGGGCGAGTCCGGGTGGGAGGTGGGGGGTTGCCGGTGAGAAATGCCGCGTGCTCCGTTTGGCCGGCTGTCCCCCGGCAGCTTTCCCCTTTCGGTTCGGGGAGAAAAGCCAAACATCATGGCAGGGTGTCGGCCGAGGGCGTCCCTGGGGCCTCCCTGGGGCGGGCAGAGCTCTCCTGGTGACCAGCGGCTGTGGAGGAGAGAGCAGGTCGCTCCGCTTTTCTCACACTGTCTTCTCCTGGATGTTTCTTTTAGTTTTAAATCTTTTAAATTAAAAAAAAAAAACCAAAACCAAAAACAAACGAACAAACGAACGAACAAAAACAAAACAAGCAAAAAAAAACCCCAACAAAACAAATAAAAATAATAAAATAAAATAAAAAATGCGCCGTTGTCCCAAGTGGATTCAAGTTTCTGGGGTTTATTTTTGTCTTCTTGAGGAATTTAAAGTCAGCCCAAAACTCCAGGCGGGGCGGGGGGGACAGGGAGAGGAGGTACAGCAGGTATAGCAAGGTGCCCTGCAAAGGCAGAGAGAGACCATCCCGGGTGAGGAGCCCGAGCCCTGGCTGTCCCACCCCACCTCATCCCACCCCATCCTCCCCTCCTGGCCCAGGATTTAAAGCCAGCACAGGAATACCCCATTTGAGCAGCCCACCAGCCCACCGCAGGCTCACCTTAAAGAGAAGTCAGCAAGCACGCCCGGCGGGTCAATCAGAAGGATGCTCCGGGCAAGATCTGTTCACTTCAAACCATGAGTCTATACAGCTGTGAGAGGAGAGCGTGTCACCACTGTGCTGCTGAACCTCGGGTGTCCCCTCCTGTCCCCTGCCGCCCGCCTGGCCACCCCCTCACGGTACCTTTTGTGATAAATGCAGAGGCAGGGCAGCCTGGCTATCGTGTCCCCCTGCAGCAGCTCCTCCAGGCAGATCACGCACTCGCCGGCATCCTTGGTCAGCACGTCATCTGGGAGGGGAGGGCAGAGGTTGAGATGGGGACCACCACAGCATTCCCCTCCCTGGGATGAAGGGGAACTCATGGCCCTGCTGTGGGTGCAGCTGCCATGGGGCAGAATGGCAGCAGCACTGTAAAACACTAGAAGGAGGCTCAGGTGGAGGCACAGGGTCTGGGGCAGCTGGAGCAAACAAAGCCCCTACCACTGGCTTCTAAAAAATCACCACTGAGTAGGAGGTGAGCATCCCTCCCACACCAGTGGTCAGGAGGGAGGGGGGAGATGCCAAGAGCCTGCAGCCCAGTGCTCAGCCCCATAAGTCTCCTGGTCAGTGAGGAGGGGAGGAAGGCAATGACCCCTCAGAGGGGCAGCCCAAGGGGACATGTGTCCTCTGCCCTCGCCAGGCAGGACACCCGGCCAGGAGGCTCCCTCTGGCACAGAGCAACCCGGGCAGGGGGCTGTGTTACAAAGGAGTCTAAAAGCAAAAGCAGCAGAGTTGAGCCATGCCAGGGGAGCAGAGTGGAGCAGGGAAGGGGAGCAGCACCATCCCGCTGGAGAACAGCCCTCTTGGCAAGCCCAGCTGAGCTGCCTGCCTGCAGCAAGCCTCTCCAGCCTGCCCAGAGTCATCCCAAGGGGTAGGATGCCGTTTCCCCCACAGAGCTTGGCCCTTACCGTTGTAGGAGAGGCGAGGTTTGCTCAGACACATGATAAAGTGCATTTCCATCTCGTCAGAAGCCACAGATTTGGAGCAAATGGGGCACTTGAAACCTGGAGGGAGAGCAGAGACGAGCCCTTAGCAAGGGCAGCAGGAGTCATCCACCCTGCATCCCAGGGAATCCCCGAGGCCATGGTGGGGCAGGGCAGCCCCTCACCTGCCGCCTGCATGGTGACCCTCACCCCACGCAGCGCCCGCTGGGCACCTGCTCATCCTGTGCTGGTGCAGGGACAGCCACCGGACAGGGCACAGCCACCCCAGCCGGCGCGTTGGTCGTCCCCGAGCCCGCGCACAGAGGGCACGGAGAGAGTGCCAAGGCAGTGCACACGTGGCCATCAGCTGCTGCCAGGCCTTAAAGGGCAAGCAGCAGCCTGGGGCATGCAGCACTCTGCCACTGGCAAGTGCAGGGGCACGTCCCCGTGCCCGGATGGTGCTGTCCCTGCTGCCAGAGCTCAGCACCGCGTGGCTAAGCCAGAAAAACTGCAAGGAAGGAGGTTCTTTTGTAGGGCTGCAGCAGAGGACTGGTAGGTCACAGCCTCAAACCCAAATCACTGCTCTCTCCAGCTTTTTGCAGGAGTGAGGTGTGTGCTCACCCCTTTGACGCCAGCCAGCAGCCCCAGAACAGGAGGACCCTGCAGGCTGATGTCCCAGCTTGATCTTGGCTCTGCCTGGTGACTCAGGCTCTTGGATGGAGCTGGCTGGGATGCCCAGATCTGCATGGTAACCTTGCTTGGGCATGAAGGGGCCTGGCTGGTGCCAGGGTGTCACACCAGTGTCACCACCATGCAGACCACCATGGCATCATCCCCAGCCCCACTGATCGAGGCTGCCCCAAACCCAGGTTTCTAAGCTGCAAACTCCTAAGGAACAGAACACCAACCAGTCCTACAGGTCACCCTCTCAGGACTTGTGTCCTTTCACTGCAGCCAGCTCGAGGCCATGCAGTTCATCCCTGCCCAGCAGAGTAGCAGGGCTCAAGTTGAGCGTGCCACCACCACCACCACGGGTTTGCACCAGAACATCCAGCAATTCCCTGCCTGCAGAGAGGGAGAGGGTAATTTAAGGATCTGCCTTCTAAAAGCAGATCAGGTTTGACTGCAGCGCCGCTTAAGAGCTTTCTTCATATATATGCAAAGGCTGCTCAGGAAAGAAGAGAAAAGCAATGTACACAAATTATCTAAGGATGAATCAGGTTCTTGTTTGCCACCACGTGGACGTGGCCAGGGCATTTTTTTCTTGCTTCTTAGAAGGGAGAAGGTAGAGTGGCTTTAAGGGGAGGCAGCTCAGACCTACATGGTGCAATCAGCCAGGGTAACTGCCCAACAGCTGTGTACCCACTCATTAGCAGTGGTGATAAATACAGACGACTTCCCAGCTCCTCAAATGAAAGCCTAGGGATGCCAATCCTGCCCCTCCAGAGGGCAGTTATTTCTCAGGAGGGCGCAGCAAGGATGAGTATCACGGATGGTGTTGGACTGGCCTAAAAGGCAGGACTCAGAGGACCTACTAAAACAAGGAGCCCTCGAGCCCAGGGGTCTCTCCAGTGGGGTGTCTTGCTGTCCTGCAGCATGCCACTGCAGGGACACATCGCTGCCCCAGCCAGGCTGAGCCATGGGGTCTCTGCTGTGAGCCTGGCCCCATTTGCACCAAATCCCTGGTGACAGGGCAGCACTGGCAGCCAGGGCCTCGTGGGCAGCAGTACCAATCTGCCTTCTCATCTCCAGCCTAATTTTACTCCTGACCGATTTATACCTTGTGGCAGCCGTGCCCATTAGCTGAAATAGCTGTTTCTTTCCTCCTCCCAAGTGTTTACCCGCCCAGTGTATTTATAGCATGGATAGCTCGGATAGCTCCCAGCCTGCCTGCTGCAAGACCCAACTGGCCTCCCCCCTTGCGAGACACCCTCCCAGTGCCCCGCTCCCTGGCAGCCTGCCTGCCCTGCCCCTGCCTGGCACGGATGGTTCCCCACACCGCAGGCACCAGTCTGGGGGAGCTCTGGGGACCGGCTTCCAGTGGAGAGTCCCCAGAACGGCTGTGAAGGGCTCCCTGTGGCAACGGGAACTCTGTGTCAGGGCAAGGCGTTTGTCGAGGTTCGGCACCGTTCCCTGTGTGCGAGGAGACCTCGTT